TTGTCATGTCAAAGGAAATATACTAGCACGGTACATATGTATGATGTTAGTCTAGCCTTTTTTACATATCTGTAAAGTTCCATATTGATATGTCATTGACAACAACGCAGGTCTGCCAGTTATTGAAAATATGTAAAGCAGTGCAGAAGTCTTGCAGACAAATAGGTTTGTATTAAAAAGCTCATACACAAGGCATGACATTGTTTATTCCAGCAGCTTATCTCTAAATATCAAACCCTTCTCTGAATACAAATTTGTTGATGGCATGCTACTTGTGAACACTATGCATACTGTAGCAAAAACACTAAAAGAGTGGAGGTGGCAGGTTCTGATTTTATCTATGTGCTTGCGTGCGTCTGTCTCTGTGTGCGTGTCATCAGGAAGCAGTGAAGGAGAACCACAAGAAGAGGGAGATGGAGGAGAAGATCAAGAGAGCCAAGCTGGCGAAGGAGAAAGCGGAGCGTGAGAAGCAGGAGCGCCAACAAAAGAAGAAGCAGCTGATTGACATGAACAAAGGTATGCCACTTTTCCCCACGCTGCCAAAGAGATGGCAGGTGGGGAGTTGGGAAAAGGGACAAGAGGATGGAAAAAGGGTTTCATGGAATTGTGCTTCACACATATTTGAACTAAGAAGGAAGAAGCTAATGTGTAGGAGTGGGGGGAAGTCATCATTTACCACTGAAGTACTCCCTTAGTCAATACAGTGGTTCCAAACGTTAGACAGATTATGCTACTTTTAGCTTGTTTTTTTCTGTGGTACATTTACTCATGTACTGTAAACAGAAATACCCTCTGCTGTTTAATGCCCATTTACTTCTAAATAAGCCATAGATGACAATGTTATAATTCAGTAGTACCAATTATTGAAATGTAGTGATAAATAAATTTAAAGACTGAGCTGTCATAGAGCTGGCAGAGGTGCACAAGATGGAGGTCACATGTAAAGACAGGAAGCTGAGGTCTACTGATAAAAAAGACTGGAAATGGCTCTGTAGTTTACACGTCCATGCTGCTGTCATTAGTTTTTCACTGGTCATGTACAAACAGTATGACAGAAAAGGATCATTCTTCCAGCCTGCGGGCAGCATGCTATATTTATTGTTGTGAATCACTGAAATTACTGTATTGTCCTCTAGCAATGCCAGTAAACACTGTATTGATCAGTGTAAGCTGCAGTTGTTCAGACATGAAAAATTAGAGCGGCAGAGCTGTATGCCTGTTTCTTGTTTTGTCGGTGACATTGAGAAGGAATTTTAGGCCTGAAGGGGCTTTGCAAGCAGTCAGTGTGGTCTTTTGTCCGTTTTTTTTTTTTTTTTTTTTTAAAGAGTGTTGGGTGTTTTTTTTTCTTTTTTTTTTTTTTTTTTTTTTTTTTTTGACAAACAGTCTGGGATTTTCACAATTCACCAGCTTCTAAATGTCAGCACCAGCCAAGGACCTCTCTGAAGCTCAGCCACATTGGGAAATGTGACAAGACAGTCTTCGGTATGCCACAAACTCTCCAAGATAATTGATGCATGCTAGTTTTTCTTTTTTTTTTCCTCTGTGCAGTGACCTCTTTGAAAGCTTCACTTTTAATAATCCACCATGGCTGAGCTTAAGGAGGCTGTCTACCCATCTCTCTTATTCTGGCTAACCACATGGAGAAGGGTAGAGAAATAGGTATGATATTAAATATTTCTGCCAGAGCAGATTTTGATCTTAGTTTCTGAATGCCATAATATGACTTATATGAATAAAACATGAGGATGACATGGGCAACGATGCCTGCAGCCTTGGATAAAGTGGGGATTGTCCTTAACATCAAAACCTAGCTCGTTGTCACAGTCACACTGACCTTGGCAGTTATAAAGTACACAATTTTAAATTTAAATGTGCTTAACCCAGGCAGTTTCCCCCCCGTCAAGGTTATTACCTGAATTGACTACACATTTTCATTAAGCTTTGAATAGTTCCTTTTTGTGTACCAACTTGTTTCTGTGTGAAAGGACAATCAAATGTGAATCTTTTTAACTGGATTCTATGAATGGAAATCTGAACTTCAGCCTGAAGCAAATTGGAGGTTACAGCAGATTGGTGTTCCACTCTTGTGTTATCGCAGTTTCTCCTCTTTAAATTGTTTGATTGGAACACACACAGCAGAGTATTCAGTGTTGTTGTGGTGTGTGTGTGTGTGTGTGTGTGTGTGTGTTTTGAGCATTTTTCTTTTATCTCTTTATGCTCTTCTTTTGAAAGCCTTGGCTTGAGAGTCATGCCTCTTATTTCCCATTCTGTTCTAAAATTCTATATTTGATTTAGATATTGTGTGTAAACTTTTCACATCAATATTTCATGCTGAGCATAGTGTTCCAGTGAAGGCTGATGGAAATAAGGTAGTGTAAGGCACAAAGAGGCTTGTTTAACTCTGCTTACCATTAATTAATCATGTCCAAACATATTCCACATTAATTTTGCATTCTAAAGGTTTAAAGGTTAATTGAAGTGCTGAAATAGATCGTCAGTTTGACATACCTGTCCTTGTCTGCTTTACTTTAACCCTAACCTGAGCTCAGGTAGATAGATGGAGAAATACACTCAATAAATCATAATGACAACATGTTTTTAGAAATGCATCCATCCATTACTTGTACCCGTTTATCCTTTAGAGTGTTGAGGGTAGCTGGAGCTGAACCCAGCTGACATTTGGCAAGAGGCAGGGTACACCTTGGGCAGGTGTATCACAGCGCTGACACATAGGCTGCATTCACATTAATCCTCAATTCTGATGTTTGTTTATTTGTTTTTAGATTTGACTTTTTGTGTTGGTGGTTCATACTTAGCTCCCCCAAGGAGGTTATGTTATTACCGCCATTTGTTTGTTTGTCACCACATAACTCAAAAAGGTATGAATGGATTTTTTAATGAAATATTTTGGAGTGGTAAGGTATGGCCCATGGAATAGTACATCACATTTTGGCGGTGATTCAGATCATCGTCCAGATTATGGGGAACCTGAGCTGCCTTGGCGGAGGTTTGTACTCTCCAAGTGCTGTCTATTGATGTTTGTAACTGACATGTGTCCAACTCCTGTGTGAACACTGTCGTCGTCCTAAGTTACCACACGTGCAGATTCAGCTGAAATGTCCCGTTACTGAAAATAAACTACAGTAAAAACAAAAAAACAATATCACAGTACATACACAAATACAGTATAAGAAACCGGCATAAAATTAAAAAACACCTAAAACAAATAAGGCATTATATTAATTTCAAAGTTTTCTTGAACTCCCAACGATCATTGAGAATGAGTACATCTTGAATTTTACCTGAGAAGTGTCAGCAGAGGGGAACACTTAACTGTAAGCAGAGGACTGTTCCATAGCTTTGGTGCAGCTCATGGTTGTGGAACAGTTCAGAGCAACTGGTTTGAGGACCTAAGACGCCTGGAGCTGGAGCCGGGGCAGAGAAGTTCAGAAATGTACTGAGGTGCCAATCCATGTAGGGATTTATAAACAAACAACTGTCCTGTATTCGACAGGTAGCCAGTGCAGGATGGTAAGTACAACCAGTAGCAGTAGTCCACCATTGAGGAGATAAAATCAGTGGTCACAGTGGTCTTCAGGTTAAGTGAAGGATGTAAGTTTGGCAATATTTCTAAACTGAGTAGCCATACACCACTGAGTTTATCTGTTAATCGATTATACACAGAGGAGACAGACGCTGAAAAACCCACTTGAATTCCACTTTGACAGTGGCCACATAGTCAGAGATCGGATATGAATCTGCTGTAGGACCACATATGCAAGTGGCCAACATCAGATTTGAAAAAATCTGATCTGGTTTGTTCATAAATCCATGAAAAGATCAGCTCTGAGTCACTTGGAGTTTTGGTCACAGCACAACATCTACTGCACAAATCCAGGTTTGCAAAGCTTGTAGAGACTTGAAGCTGTGACATTTCCCAAAGGGCCTTCTACAGAGTACTGCATTAGACGTCTGAAAACTTTTGTATCGGAGAGATTTCAGTTTTTGGTTTGACTAAAAACGTTTTCACTTACTCATTATGGGCATTGAGTGTATACTAATGGGCAAAATGACAATTTTAACCATTTATAAATAAATTGGCCACACCATAAATTGTGCAAAAAAATTAAATGGTCTGAATACTTTCCATAACCACTACAGGTAGAAATAAGTCGCTGACCTAAATAAAGTACATTTTTAGGATGAACAGACTGAGTAAACATATGGTCCTTGTGTTGTGAAAATTATGCATAGGTCAATATGTTTGCTTTTTTTAGATTTACTTTTTTTTATGCTTATTGTGTCTAACACAACTCCAAGAGGCTGTCTTTGAGAAGAGACAGCTTTTATCTCATTTCACAAATTGCAGCCTAATCCTCTTCACTTCTAAATGATAAACAATGAAATGCATAATTAATGAGTTTAATTCACATAGTTGTTTCCAGGATAGCACCAGGGTGGGGGAGGAGAAACAGATAAATGCTTATAGGAGACTGATTTTAAATAAAAACAAATTTCTGGTTGATAAAGCCATGAGTTCAGTGACTTACACACTTCTTCATCAAGCATGACTGACAGATGACACAAGCGTAGGGCTAAACGTGTTTTCCTTGTGAAGTATTAGAAATCCTAATGTAGGAAACAGCTTATGAAATCATTACCCGTCACCCCATTAGTTTTAATTTTCTCTAAGTGGAGTTCCATCTTCTCTCCAACTGACCAGATGTTCAACATTTGTTAAATTGCTAGAAATAACAGTTGAACACTGTAAAATAAACCTAAACTAATGCTTGTCTAAACAAGGGATGATGGTTCGTCACAGCAGAGTATTTTTTCTTAGTGCTTCATAAAAAAAAACACTAGAAACATGTGTGACATCGATTTAAGAGCCAGAGGGTATCTGGACTTTATTTCTCCAAGGCATTTGTCTGGAGTAGCAGGCGCCCATGGCCGCCCACTCAACTGGCATCACCAGGGTCAGTGCCCCTGTCTGGGGCAAGCGTCTGCACCCACATGTCAAATGTGTACTTTAGTCAAATTCACTAAGCTCTGAACAGAGCTGGAAAATGCACCTGCCGCTTTGATCACAATGCGGCTTGGCATAAGGCACAAGGGAATAAACAAACAACCAGGAACAAAAAAAGTTTGAGCATTTTATTTAGTCTCCAGGCATTTCTCCCAGGTAGCACAGGCAAACAGTGAAGAACTTTGTGTTTTACATATGTTCTGTCACAATTTCTGAGATCTACTTTATGCAGTATGGTTTTCAGTTTGTGAAAGAGTTGTGTCACTTGTGTAGCATTCCCCTATACCATATGAACCACTGAAAACCATTTTTATTGCCAACCTGAGGAATATCAAATTTCGAAGCACATTGGTTGTAGCCCGAGTTTTACAACACTTTTTATGAGGGTACCAACTGTCTGCTGTCTCAGTTGACTGCACATATTAAGTGTAACCCAACTGGACTGATGTACAAGAAAGACTTTTCTTAAGTAAACCGAGGACTCAAAATG